TCGCCTCAGGCTCTAGATTATCTGAGAAAACTAGACTATCTGATAAAACTAGACTTAGTTAAAAATACACAAAAAGTAATCCAAAACTCAGTGAAGAACATGTAGGAATATTAAAATACCTGCAAGAATCATCAAAACTTAAGAAATGGGGACTCACCAATATAGCAGGGCAGACAAACTTTCTGGGCTAGTACATAAGTGTGGAGAGAGAAAGTCAGTGCAGTCTGCACCGATCCATGCCCGTCTGCTGAATGAGGAATTTCTCACAAAGGCTGTGGGAAAACTAATAAGACCCTCTTTGTTTCAACCGGTGGCTCTGCAATGCCCTGGGGCTCAGCTGCCAACTCATAGGTACCTGGGCAATGTTTATATCAGGGAACACTACTTATAGCTAAGGCTAATGCATAAACTAAGTGGGGGAAATCTTTGCCTGCAACATCTGCATATATAGAGATTTACCACAAGCAAAATTTGTCAGTCCATTGTAAGGATCTGAATATAACACAAAATAAACTCAAACTGAAATTAGCTTTACATGGTCGTGACAGTTGGTTTCTGTGTTCCATCACTGACAAATAACACTTGCATCAATTTCATGACTTGTCTGACATGAAAGGTTTTATTTCCCATGGAACATGTAATAAGGTTAAATTTTTGCAACATCAACCAATACACGTACCAATGACTTCCTGAGATTCACATTATCGGCAAGCTGTTGATTCAAGTGCTTTGCAGCATCGTAGTTGGGGAGGGGTAAGTCAATGTGCTCTGGAAATTCTCCCTTTTCTTTAGTAGCTTGCTTGTTGGAAACAAGCATGGCAAGCATCTTTAAGTTTCTGTCCACTTGTAGCAAAAGTGTTTCCAGCAGCTGTAGGATTTTGGCCTCAGTAGCTGTAGTGAAATTGAAAATGTTTGCAAATATTAGTGGCCACTCCAAAATAAATGTGCTTGATTCCCCTTTTGTGTTACTATCTTTGTAACCACTGATTTTTCTTTGCAGAATTTTAGCAGTTGTGGTCTTGTGGACAAATCAGATAATGGATGCCACAATGCGTACTGAGATGTGATGTCATTTTAACAGTCTGCATCATGTTCTCAAAGCTGAATTATTCAATGATGTATGTAAATGGAAGTTTACATGACAGAAATCGGCACAAAGTGGGTATAAGATTATTTTGTCTAAATTCTGGTTGAGATAAGTTTTCAGCATTCATCCAAAGGTTGTGATGTCAAAGGGTATTTACCCTACCTGAAACTCCTACACTTGCAGCTTTCTCCACAGTAAAAGTTAAATTTTTAGTGCTAAACTTGCTGTGGTTCAACCGTTATTTCCTTGTGGCCTTCTGGCTTCACCAATTATTCCCCTCGATACAGTTTAGGTGTCTGAGCCCGGAAGAAGTATCACATTCTCTGAACCCTCTGAGGCCTCTGTTGATTGATGTAAGGCCATGCAGCCACTTTGCTGATCCCATTAAGCCAGCTAGTGCAAGACAGTGATGGGTGAGACAGTAGTACCATGTTCACCATGGCATAAGCCAGATGACTAGGACTGCTTCAAAGACTAAACAAAGTGCATTGTGGTGAATAATGCATTTTGTCCGTAAGCGATAAAATGTCTTTATTGGACCATATTTAGAGAAAGGAATTAGACATATCTCTAAATGAAGTAGAAATGTCTTTTTTCCAATCGAATTATGACTCATTTACAGATATCTCTAAGTCTAAATAACTAAAGACCTCACATACTACTACCATTGTAATAAATGTTAACTTGGCTCGTTATATTTTACTGTTACTGTTCCTTTTTCTGATAGGCTACTAGTGTAGTGCAGTCAGTAGTACTACACAGTACACGTAGATGAAAGCGACAGTTTTCAGTAATACTAACATACCATAACGTTAGTGCTTGCACTTACTGGCTTCGTCGTAAGAGTAATTCTTCGCTAGGCGACACTCTCTTCTCTGCCTCTGTCGCACCGAATTCTTAAGTCTCGCTTATTAGGTAATTAATAAGCTTGGTATTTTTCTCCCTATATGGTCTGAAATGATCAACAAATGAGCTCACCTGTTCCCAGACACTGCCATGACAGTTCCACCGAGAGATGTCAGGCCGGACAACTGGGCACAGCAGTAAAATGTACTAATTTTCTTCCCAGTGCGCAGACATCACATGACATAGCATGACCTTATTTGGCCACCCGGACACTTGAGCACGCCGGACACCTGAGACCGCGACACCGAGATTAAGTAAAACATTGAAGTCGATCTTTACATGGGAAGCCAACAATAAAAGAGGTCATTATAGTCAGCTTACGCACCAGGAAAATGTAATTATAAAAAGGTTTCTTCACTTGATAAAGAATTCCCTTCTGTAATATGTTTCTCCGTGAATTGTGTAACTGCATCCTTTCAAAACATGTTCAGAATTATGCATGTGACAGGACGTGGGATTCTAGGCCGCCCCTGGTAGTGGGGTGGTAGGTCCATCCTCCAGTGATAGAAGATGAGGCACTCTCCCTTGACTGATTCCCCCAAAGAATTCAGTCGGAAACCGGATGTTGATTTAATTGATTGATTGATTTAATTATTATTTGTGGCTTTCATCTCATCAGCTTCTTTCGGTAAACATTTTCCTGTATGCAAAATTGTTGCATAAGTGTTTACAACCAAAGATACTTATTGTATACAAAATACAACACATTTAATACACTAATACGTCTAGTGTACACAATGTTGTAAAAATGTCAAGTTGAAACATTGTATCAACACTTTGTGGTAAATAATTACCCTGGTGTGGTGGCTTAGCAGTGATGTAGCCTAAAGTGGTGCAGGAACCCTGTGGCAGGCAAGTTCCCCAAAAGCTTGAGCTAATGCAAACATAATTCACAAAAGTGGCATGATAAATAATATTTTTAACTACAGGGATTATAGAACTGCAGTATATAGACAGCGTACCCCATCTTGTAAGTAAGCACACTATGAAAAGCAATGGCCGCGCGACCCACTGATGCGAGTCGTACACAGCCCCAAGCTCCATACACAGCGCGATGTTGCACACGAGGCCTACAGCGCACACCACGTCCAACTGTGGAGGGCCGAGAAAGTACGGGGTTCGTAACTGACACTGTTGAAATAAGGCAGAAGGGAGGCCGTGAGTGAATGCTGGTTATACTAGGCTGCAAGCTCTGCCAAGAATCATGTTCGCTCTATAGTAACACAAATAAAATCTTCTGTGGCCAAAAACGAGTAACCTGCTACAATGGCACAGGAGAAACTTGAAAACAAAAGAGAAACTAAACCACAAACTAGTCTGGCCAAGCTTAACATAAACACCAAGCACTGAACTCCTAACTTAAGCCATAGAACCCTATACATACTCTTGTCGATTCCTTCTGGGGTCTTGATTTCATGTTGGCTAAATCTACGTGCAGATCGATCTCGCGACGACGGGTAAGGGCA